CTTTTTTCTTGTTACTTCCCTTTATTCTTGTTACTTCCCTTTATTCTTGTTACTACCCTTTATTCTTGTTACTTCCATTTCATTATTCTTGTTACTTTCCTTTATTCTTGTTACTTTCCTTTATTCTTGTTACTTTCCTTTATTCTTGTTACGTCCTTTTATTCTTGTTACTTCCCTTTAATTATTTTTGTTACTTCCCTTTAATTATTTTTGTTACTTCCCTTTATTCTTGTTACCTCCCTTTAATTATTTTTGTTACTTCCCTTTATGTTTGTTACTTCCCTTTATTCTTGTTACGTCCCGTTATTCTTGTTACGTCCCGTTATTCTTGTTACGTCCCGTTATTCTTATTACTTCCCTTATCCTTGCTACTATCCTTTTCTTCAGTTACCCCACTTTGGTCTAAATATTTCACTTCATCTGGTTTCTTCTCTCTAGTCTAGTTAGTTCCCCTTTAGTATGGTAACTATCATGTAGATTAGAAATTTCCCTTTAGTCTGGTTACTTCCCTTTAGTCTAATCATTTTACTTTAGTTTGGTTACTTTACGTTAGTCTAATTATTTCCCTTTAGTCTGGATACTTCCCTTTAGTCTAACTTGTTCCCTTTAGTCTGGTTACTTCCCTTTAGTTCAGTTACTTCCCATTACTCTGGTTACTTCCCTTTGGTTTAGTTTCTTCTTATTGGTCTAGCCTTTTCCCGTTAGTCTGGATATTTCCCTTTTGTCTTTTCCACAACTTCCTTTAGTCCTGTTACTTCCCTTTGCTTTCGTTATTTCCCTATAATCTGGTAACTTCCCTTCATACATGTTTTTGTGGTACTTCCCATTTGATTAGTTACTTCCCTTAGGTTATGTTATTTCCCTTTAGTCTGATAAATTCCCTTTGGACTAGTTATTTTCCTTTAGTCAGATGACTTCGCTTTGGTACAGTTACTTTCCTGTAGTCATGTTTCTTCCTTTTGTTTAGTAACTTCCCTATGGTTTAGTCATTTCCATTTACTCTGTTTTATTCCCTTTAGTTTTAGTCATGTTACTTCCCTTTGTTTTTAATAATTTCCCTTTGTTTTGATTATTTCACTTTAGTCTTGTTACTTCCTTTTAGTCTGTTACTTCCCTTTATTTCAGTTATTTCCCTTCAGTATGGTTATTTCCCTTTAGTATGGTTACTTTCTTTTAGTCTGTTACTTCCCTTTGGTTTAGTCACTTCCCCTTCGTCTAGTTATTTCCGTTTACTCTGGTAACTTCCTTTTGGACATGTTACTTCCTTTTAGTCTAGTTATTTCCATTTAGTCTGATTACTTCCCTTTATTCAAGTTATTTCCCTTCTGTATGGTTATTTCCCTTTAGTTTGGTTACTTTCCTTTTGTTTAGCTATTTCCCTTTTGTATAGTTATTTCCGTTCAGAATGGTTACTTCTGTTTAATCTAGTTATTTCCCTTTAGTCTAGTTATTTCCCTTTAATCTAGTTATTTCCCATCAGTCTGGTTACTTCCCTTTTGTTTTGCTACTTCCATGTGGTCTAGTTATTTCCCTTAGTCTGGTTACTTCCCTTTGATGTTGTTACTTCCCTGTTACTTTCCTTTGATACCGTTTCTTTCCGTTAAGTTACATCTCAGTGTCCATGGCTACCACCTGAAGAGTAGCCCAATAGTAGGCTTGGAATAGAAGCAAGAACATGGAAATGCGTGGGCTGTCAAGGAATTCATAATTTGTTTTCCTCAAAATGACAAAAAGTGACGTTGTGTATTTCTTTGTACGTAAATCACGTGCATAGCGTAATTCATACATGTACATAACGAAACTATTTCCGTGTCCCGGCGACTTCGCTGTGTGAGAGCTAGACTGTATCCTGGTGCGTTTGTGTCATGTAGAAATGTATTGTAGATGGATAGATGGATGGATAAATAGATAGATGTTTTAAAAAAAAGTGGTTTAAGGGGTTGGGGGTGGGGAGGGATGGAGGCAGGTAGAGAAGGATTATGACGAGCCTGGCTATATGTCTCTTCAAGATATATATAACCCTGTAATGTATGTGAAGTAGAGACTATGTCTATGTATATATATAACCCTGTAATGTATGTGAAGTAGAGACTACGTTCTATGTATATATATATATATAACCCTGTAATGTATGTGAAGTAGAGACTATGTTCTATGTATATATATATATATATAT